TCAGCTCTGAGTGACTTCAATGTTCACTTATATACATAAAAAATTTTAGAAATAAGATCAGTTAAATCAACTACCTTGGTTTCAACCTTACTGTGTCCTCAGGCGATTTTTATCAGTTGACCTCACGGCTGTTTAAAACCCTTGTTTTTTCATATAGAAAAATCCAACATGGCATGTAAACGAAATATTCAGCGAAAAATACCATTCATCAGTAACATTTTAAATATCTCATAGAATGTAAAGTTCTTAAAGTAAACCTGTGCCAAACTGTTTTCCTGAATCCTTGATGACTTGGCTGTCTGAAAATGACATCAAGATGAAATAATGGAAACTGACCATGAAAAACACAATTATATGCAACAAGTTTTCGATCAATCAATAAACTTTTGGACCTTTTCGTGTGACGTTATAGGATCCAGACAGCTATTGTTTGCACATAGAATTATTCACTGGTAATTAATCTTCAATTTGGCTGTGGAAAATGTCACTTGGCAGTTAGCATTAAGAAATTATGCCCGATTTTTCTAAGTAAAATCACCTTTTTTTTTTCTTTTTTTTTTTTTTTTTTTTTTTTTTTTTTTTAATGAAAAAATATTGTTTATTGTCACTTCAAAATAATATCATTCAAACTTCATTCATTTCTCTTTAATTTGGTGTGAACATCATTGAATAAAAAGAACGGTTAAATATCCCAGCGATGGGGAAATATTAAATACATGCGGCAAAAAAAACAATGTTGTCTGCCAAGTGTTGTTGTCATCAACCCAGTCATGGGGTGTTAAAAACAAAACAAAATACATCAAACCATTGTTCAAACGTAGGTTTGAAAAAAAAAACAAACCTTATATCAAGCCCAACCAATGTTGGCTTTTTTTCTTTTTTTTTTTTTGCTATTTGCTCTTATCTGAGAGTGGTAGGTTTTATTTCAAGCTGATGACAACTTGTTCTAAACATTTATTGCTGGCTGGCTAAAGTTTGACTTAGACATGTCAGTCAATTTGGCTTTATTTTCCTTATTGCTGCTATTTTTTGGAAAAACAAAAAAAACACTTTTGGTTTCAGGTAGTCAGGAATTGCAGATAAATCTTTTGCCGTTTACTAAAGATTTCCGTGGCCAGGTGTCAATTTTTTTTTTAACCCTTGGCAGTCATATAATTGAAAATAACCAATGGACTGTGTCGCATTTTGAACCCCTAGGAATGTTGACTTCCTTCAAAACTCTCAATTTTATGCCTGGAATAGTTTGATTATGATTTAGGCTTTCTGATTTTCCAAAACAAACAAAAAAAATGGTTCATTTCCTATTAATGGGGTAAATTTTTGTTTAGAACTAGAAAAAATGCAAAATGTTCACTATTTTTCACATTTTATCCCCTGAAAAAAAAATTTTGAATCATTTACACCAGCCATTTTAAATTTTAAATGAAAGAATATATCCTTTGTTTTCAGAAAATACCTAGTTTCATGTGGTTCAGATCAAAAGTTTCCTTGATATTTGTTTATATGATGATAAAACAGTCATTTTTCAATATTTTACTCCTATAAAAGTATGACAATCCATTTTTTCAGAGAAAATAAGTTGTGACAAAATGACTTTTGCTATTTTTGTGATGATTTTTACTTGGGATAGAAAATTTTTACCAAAGCAAACCTGAATTGACTTTAGTTACGTTCAGTGAGGCTATAGGAAACCTCAAACAGCTGTGACCTCTTAACACTAAAATTTTTTATCAGTTAACCTCTTAACACTAAGATTTTTTATCATTTGACCTCCTAACACTAAAATTTAAAAAGAATAAAAATGATTGCTATATTATTTTAAAAAAATTACCAAATGTACAATGTTGGGTGTGATAGAAAAGGAGGAGGATGTGAAGAAAGAATGAGAAGAGGGCAGAGAAGAAATGCAAGGGTATTATAAATGTATCAGTGTGGGGTTAATTGAAATACTTTTTTATCCAGCCTCATATGAGCGTAAGAGGAATTTCTTTGTATGTATGCAAAGACTCATGATTTTGGATTTTTGGTTCAAAACTTTGAATCACGAAATGTCATTATTGCTAGTTTTTCCTGTTGGCAGAAGTTTCAACTATTATAGAATACTGTTGCCATATATGGTCCGGTGCCCAACACTGTTCATCTCGAGGTTCTTGACAAAATCCAAAGATGGATATGCAATGTGATTGGTCCTGACTTGGAGTCCCAACTCCAGTCACTATCTCACCAATGAAATATGGCTTGCTTCTGTCTTTTCTAAAAATATTTTCATGGCATCTGCTCTGACAAGCTATTTTCACTGGTGCCCTGACTGCATGAATTTAAGTGTGCTACTAGGTTGGAATCTCGGTCCCACCCTTTTACTGTTGTTACAATTAAATATAACCGCCTCTTCTACTCCCAAAATACCTTCTCTCACACTTTCCAACAGTAGAACTCCCTTCCTATTACTTGCTTACCTGATAACTATAATCTTCAAAAATTTAAGTGTAATGTCAATTGACATCTTCTGTTGCCTTGATCCTCATTCTTGTTATCATCCTCCATTCTTCTTTATATTCTTCCCTGACTCCCACATCCTATACCCAGTCTTTTCCCTTGCTTACACTCTCTATAGCTTCTTGTATACTAGTAGCACTCCCTCCTTGCTTGGGGTGAATTGCTTGCATATATATAATTTTGCTTGTCATAGCAAGCTATGTATTAGAATAAATTTTATAAGGATTGAACCTAGCATTTCATTGCCCAATTGTCTAGTAAAACTTGTCTTGATGTTAAGTTTTTATTGTTAGTCATTCAAGCATGTTTGTATTTCGATGTTTGTAGCAGAAGGCCTGAATAAAACTGATCCTAACATATTCACTTCAGATAACAAGTATAGTAAGTGTCCTTCAGTACTACAAAGTTTAACAAACGGATCTCTTTGTTTTTCTCATCCCCTACCATTTACAGTGTGAAATCATGACGGGGTATCATTTAGTAACAAAAAATATCCTTGACCTTCAATATTTTGTAAGTAAGCAATATTGTATTTTGATAGTTTTGTTTACTGACTCTTTTTTTTTTCCTCTACTAATCAAAGCTGTCTGGTAAAAGGACACAATACGACGAGTTACTTTGGATCTCTCCTCACTGTTGTTAAACTTGTCTAAACACTTTTTTTTTTTTTTTTTTTTTTTTTTAGTGACTTCCTTTTGAGAACTATATCATATTTATATGCTACACAGAGCATTTACTGGGAACAATCAGCCTGCATATGGACAGGGAATGAATAGTGCAAGTACACAAAAACAAAAAGGGGTCATAAGGCAAGGATGTGCTTTCTCTACAGATGTATTTAGGTGGTCAGGGTTAGGCTTGCAACTAGTAATATGAAATGAAACACATGAAGCCTAATACAATCTGTCAAATATCAAATGGCAGAGGAGCTTCTTAAGGAGCCAACAGCCACCATATATGTACTAGCAGCATGGCCCGTGCTTGATTCAAAGATCGTACAACTCATACAGCAATCGCTATCACTTGACTTAAAGTATTTTTGTCCTTCCTTGCCTTTAAAGGAGTGCTCTTTGCCGTGCTGATGTTGCTACATGCCTTACTTCTTGCCTATGTCACACTGCAAATTTTGTCTAAGCTCTATACTAAACATTAAATCTGTTACGAAAAAAGAACTAAACAAAATGAACACAAAACAATCAGCTTTAAAAAAAGGACTCGTAACTGGAAAAACCGAATGAAAAAAGAATGTTAACAGCAAATACTTTTTCACACCCAACCCAGTTCTGCGGAATCAGAATCAACGTTGAATTTAAGCAAGCGAATGAGCCAATTGGAGTAAAGTGCCATGCAGATTTAAATTTTTCCTACTTGTGATGAATGCAGCTATTGATTTTTTTTTTTTTTTTTTTTTTTTATGTTAGTTAACATTTGTGTCAGTCAGCTGTTGGCTCTCTCGCTGGCCAATAGAATCTTCCTGCCTATTTGTGGCAGCCAGCTATTGGCTCTCACTCTGGCCAGTAGAAAATGGCCGCAAACTACATGAAAACTGCTGTAGAAGCATGAAAAAAATCAATTATTTCCACTATTGATGGGAGTTGGGAAATGCAAAGTCAGTCTTGGTCTTCCCACTAACTTGGAGCATGTGCATGTAAATTTTGGTGCAAATCCATCGAAAATTGCGGCCGTGCATTCGTTACACACGCACGCACACGCACACACACGCACACACATCCTGCCTTTTATAGATAGAGATGTAGGTACATGGGATAAGAAATTGGGTTTTTGCTGACAATTTCCACTGAAAAATACACCATCAACAAAAACATGTCAGTGAATAATTCCAATTTCTCTGTTTATTCCTTGGCAAGTGTGTTAGAAAGTTCCAAGCTTAAAACTTTTCTCTCTGTGCTTCATTTCTGTCATATGGTTAATAATTAATATTTAATAAATGTTTTCCGTACTGATTATATTGGTACCATTACGTTTGTCCTTGTTTTATTAACTAATCTATTTTACAGATGCATGCATGCATGCATGCATGCGTGTGTATGTATGTATGTATATATATATATATATATATATATATATATATATATATAAGAAAATATGGAAAAACAAAAATCTGAATATGCAAGTATGCTGTTTTAAAGTTGTTTCAATGTCGACATCAGACGTTTCGGTCTAGTAGACCTTCTTCAGGACATAGTTATTAAAGCATAATTAAAATTAGACGATATTCAAATCAACATGAAAAGACGATAGACATAAGACTAATCTTATAAATTAGTCTTATGTCTATCGTAGAAATATTTTCTGGCTTTAAATAACCTACAAAAGTTTGGTTGATAAACTGTAAAAAAACAAATTGATCAATGAAAAGGTACAGATGAAATCTTCCCTAAATATCCAGGGTAGAATGAATTTGGAAACCGCTTCTCATTTAATGTTTTTACTTTCTATGTTTGCATTTTTATTTATTAACGTTTCTTTAAATTATTTTTCAGGATTTCTGAAATTTCTTGGGGCCAGAATATTGAAGCAGTACTTGTTGGCGTGGCTGCCTTTATAGCCAATACCATAATTATTGGATTCATTGCTTCCCTTGCAATCTACTATGTAGAATTCAAAGATGCTTTTTCTGACAGCCATGGTCTAATCTCACTCAGTGTCTTCTTGCCTACCGGAATCTTTGGATCTGTTGGTAAATTACTTTCTTTTATGTGGATATGTGTGGGTGGGTGTATTCTTTATCTGTGAGGAAATAGTTCATCATAGTACTCTTTTTGTTTTTTTGTTTTTTTTTTGTTGTTTCTAACAAAATTTTCCTGTCTCTTAATACTCTGCTTAGCTTTTGGAAGACATTTTTGCTATCATAACGTCTCTTCAGATTTCAGTCTCACACTTTCCGTCCTCTGTTAAAACACTTCCCAGATATTTAAATTGTTATATTTGCTTGATTTTGACATCTCTAATTTGTAATTTGCATATTTGGCTGTTCCTTTTGCTGACAACCATTGCATTCTGTCTTTTTGCAATTGATGTTTTGTTCTTTAGCCACACCTTCTTTAGGAGTTCTTGTAGTTTTCTTTCTATGTCTGCTATCAACACTGTGTCATCTGTGAATCTTATGTTGTTAAAATTGGTGCTGCCAATGATAAATCCTGGTAGGACTTCTAATTCTCTCAGAATTGCCTCTCTGTATCGGTTGAATAAGTTTGATGAGAAGACACATCTTACAACACTTTCTATTGTATATTTACTGAATTCATTTTCTGTTTATATACAGAGGGTCACTGCCAGTGTAGGTTCAGGACATTGGTCGTCTATCTTATTAACCCCCAGTGTTATCCACACTGGCGTTGATAAGACAACCGATATCTTCATCTGGTAACATAAGCTATTTCTCATATGAGGTGATTTTGGATTTTATTTTTTATTAAAAATATTGCTCTGTAATAATAAATACATTGAGCTCTTTTTGTAGCTCAGCTTTAATATTTTATATTCCTAAACAAGGAGGAAGCTTATACTTAACATAAGGAAGAGGCAGATGAAATTTCTGAGACGTGTAATGAGAAAGGAGGCCCTGGAGAATTTGATACTCACAGGTCGAATAGAGGGAAAAGCAGACTAGGGAAAGCAACATATGATATACCTGACAGGCTTAAGCAAGTGGATTGCAGAATATGGTCTGGAGGAGTTGGCAGAGGCACAAAACTTATTGAGAGCCATGGGGGATAGGGGGAAGTGGAGAACCATGACTGCCTACATCCTAAAAGGATGTGGCACATAAAAAGAAAAGGACCACTTGGATTATATACCAATGGATTTGTTACATTTATTTATTTATATATATATATATATAGTTAGTTTATTCAAATTTAGGTAATCCGTATGGGTAGACCTGAGGAGGATGATATCCAGAGAGCTCAATGTAAGATTCAGAGCATATATGTTTGAATAAAAGACAGACCACGTTAAGATTCCATGTAATAAGCTATTTCACCATAACCCCTTTAACAGGGTTCTGGAACCCTGTTAAAGTGATGAGGTCCGTCAAAAACGTGTGAATTTCTTTTCATTTTTCATTTCAGCTTTTGGAAGTAAAGTCTGATGATCCAGAACCCTGTTAAAGGGGTTATGGTGAAATAGATTATTACATGGAATCTTAACGTGGTCTGTCTTTTATTCAAAAAAAAAAAAATATATATATATATATAATCTTATGCATTGTTACATTAGAACATGTTCTAATGTAACAATACATAAGATAAATAAATATTTACCGCTCTACTTTATGTATTGAGCACTATTTTTAAATTAATGTTTTGAATGCTGTAATCCTACTGTCTGTTCTCTTACACTTTGATATATATATATATATATATATATATATATATATATATATATATATTTTTATAAATTAACTGATTTAAAATGTTTTTTTTGCTACACAGTTCTAACCATGTTTCAAAAATGGAAGCTAAAATCTTTGAATTTAATTTTGTAATTAAATTAAAGACATTAGTTCCATTTCATCCTCAAGCGAATTTTGGAGTAACTTATTTTTAAAATTACTGGGTTTTAAAGGCACTGCAAAAATTCATAATTCATGTTTCCAAGGATACAGAGAAATCCATTCATCCAGAAAAGGGGTGGTTGCGTGTTTATTATCACTGTATTTTGATGTATCAGTTATTAGTTACGTTTGAAGAAGGGGTTATGTTTAGGTAGGGGTAGGGATGTATTTTTCAACGAATTCCGACATCCGTTAAATGCATGCCATCTGGATTTTTTTTTTTAAATTTTATTGTTAACGCCAAAAATTCTGAGGTATTTTTTTCTATTTGTATACTTAAAGATTTTTTGGGGGTGTTTATGTTAGAATATGTTTTATTTAACTATGATATATATAAACCAAATAACTAGATATTAGCAACTGTATATACGTTTATTAGTGTGCATACACAGGTAAGCAAATAAATATTTACTTAATTTAATATAAAATAAAATGGTGCTCAATATGGTTAGACTGAGCTAAGAAGTATATATTAATAGATATACCCACGTTTGAAGTGCAACTTAAAAGTTTCATGGTTTTATTGGTTTGTCAGGCACAAACTCGTGAATGAAGGCCTAAAACCATGAAACTTTAAGTTGCCCTTAGAACGTAGGTATATGTATATTTATTGTGTGTGTGTGAGAAATTGGAAGTGGTGAAAATTTTCTCAATCCAGAAAAATTCTGATATTTGCTAAGATTTTAGATTTTGAGAAATTGGTTGAGGTCAGACCTTTTCTGCAAACTAAGTGTGTGCTAGCTAGCTATATATATATATATATATATATATATATATATATATATATATATATATATATATGTGTGTGTAGGAAAGAACTGGTTAGGTAAATAATCCAAAGTTCTTTAGTATTTTTGTTATTATTTTTAAAAAATAGTGCTCAATACAAAAGTAGAGCATAAATATAATTATTTATTTAAAAATATGATTCCAACATGCTACATAAGAGGTCTCATGTTTCAAAACAAGAACCTAAAACTTCAATATAATTATTTGAATTAAATTGAATTAAAGTAAGCTCGATTCCATCCCCAAGTGAAATTTTTTTGGGAACTTGACATCTATGAATGTAACTCTATACTGATGCATATTATTAACACCCAACACACCTCCCTATTTAAACAATCGACCTGGCTGTTACCATGGAAATTTTGATTTCAATTATGAATATGCTGTTAAAACACATAAATTTCAGAAATAAGTTATTCAAAAAAAAATTTCGCTTGAAGATGGAACAGAGCTTACTTTAATTCAATTTAATTCAAATAATTATATTGAAGTTTTAGGCTCTTGTTTTGAAACATGAGACCTCTTATGTAGCGTGTTGGAATCGTATTTTTAAATAAATAATTATATAATATAAAATGTGTGCTTTTATAATTTCTCATTATAATAGACTTGTGGGTGATGTCTTATTTCCTACCTTACAACCCCTTCCCCCCCTCATATACAAAACGTTATGAGCCTCTCGCTACTCTGCCACTATTTCCATAGCGTATGTTCTGACAAGCTACATATCTTATTTTCATAACTCTCTGACCTTTACAACTGGGACCCACCCTGCCACATACACAAGGATGAATCATCCCCTATACTCTTTTTAATTCTATTAATAAGTAGTAAGTTTCATTCGGACAGCTTCTTCCCAAGAACTACTTTGTGGAACAGACTCCTGACAGGATGTTTTCCCAATTATTACAATCTTGACCTCACCAAGTCTAGGGTTAACCGTTATCTTTCCTGTATAACCCTATGAAGTCACTTACCTTTTCTTATGCTCATACAACATGACACAGTAATCCTCTACTTTGAGTGGCTCTTGAGTATTGTTTTGTGTGATTATCAGTATAAAAAAATATATATATGTTTTTTATTTCAGGCTTGCTCAGTGGTATGTTTCTGAACAAATTTGGAGTAAGGATTACAGCAATCACTGGGAGCCTTCTTCTAGCAATTGGCGTCGGTGTCTGTGCTTATGTCCCCAATGTCATCTTTTTATTTGTCTTTCTTGGAGCCTTTGCAGGTAAGAAATTTAAAAAGCAAAATTAAAATAAACAGATATTTTGTGTGAAATTCTGGGTTGGTTGTTTTGTTTTTTTGGTGGCATATCAACACCAATGGCTTATTTAATGCCAAAATATAATATTTTGCATGCACTTTTATGGCTTCAAATATAGATATTTTGAACATAATTTTATACTTTCCATGGCAAATGTTTGTTTTTTTTTTTTTTTTTTTTTTTTTTTTTTTTAGGTATATAGTTTGTAGATGATAAAATGTATTGATGGTAATTTTACTATAAAATGTATTTTTATAATTTGCTGCTGTATTGATTTTCCTTTTGCTGTATAAATGTATCACTAGTGGCCATTTTATATATATATATATATATATATATATATATATATAAAATCTGTTGCTGGGATTTTTACCATAGAAATTCTAGCATGAAACCTTTTTATTATTCAAGGAATTGGACTGGTATCTTTATATTTGTTACTTGGGTCAATTTTTTTCAACCTGTGGGTTTGAGAATCTTAAAGTAAATGTGTCTTTCAATTGGGTTCACACCGGCATAGCACTTGTAGCTGAAACCACCATTAAGTCCCATGTGCTTTTAGACCATTTGCCTTTCAAAGACTTTCCCAGTCATGCAAAGTTCAATTATCCTATTAACTCTTTAAGCCCTGGCTACTCCTTTACCAGTGGTAGAGAAAAATGACCACCAATTGAACGGTGGGTAAACACTTGTAACTATTTTTATATCTACCATGAAATATTACATACCAATTATTTGCAAATTTTGACTCAGAAGCTCAGGCAGAAGGGTTAAAATTTCAGGAATGTGGGTCTCAAAGGATTAAAAAATGCACATCTCTTGTTCAGACCTTTCAAAGCCTATATCTTCTTTTTATTTATGTATCTGAAATGTAAAGAAAGTGGTTTCTAAGGAATTAATGTTTTTTTTTTTTAATTTATAACCCAATATTATTTCTCTATAGGTTCAAATGTTATATAAATACAAATACAGTAAATCCTGACCTATGACAATTCATGATTACAATGTAGTCTCCATTAATCTTGTTTTAACTTATGCTGTTTGTGTCGTATATAAGTCAGCATGGGTCAGTTCCTGGTTGTACGCTATTATGGTAAACGTATGGTGGCAGAACAAAGAAACAGCAAAGGTTTAAAGAAATAAATAATAACATAAAATATAAGAAATGATAAATCGGTGCAGATGTCTCTCCTTGTAAAATGAGAGATAAGTGGAATTGTAAAAGGGCATCGTCTGGAGGCATATGGAAAGAGATGGAGGATGTGGTATGACTTACTAGGTTGACGTTCATTGGCAAAGTGTCTCTTAATGTGAGGTTGCTTTCCAACAAAGTCTGTGAACCCGGGCCAAGGTGTGGTTCAACTGCTGAAATGTCCCCTTGATGGGTTTTTATGTCATTTCTTAGGCTAAATTCAGCTCTGATTTTTATTTTGTTTCCTTAGGCAGAAGTGGGTGCTATTGTGTGGAAATTCTGAATTGTATTACTTGATATATTGGAAGATATGCAGAACCTTGCAGTTCAGTTTTGGGTGTTCGAGTATTCACATTTGGCCAGTAGTGGAAATTAGCATGAATCAGAAGATCTGGTTTTTAGGAAGAATATAACACCACCATATTGGTTTGTTGTGCATTCGCTCTCTTTTGCTTGTGTTGTGTTTGTGGAAACTTATTTTCCTTCGTTACAGCTCCCAAGCATAGTGTAACCTCTTCTGATTGCAATGCTTCTAAGAAAAAGAATGCCATCAGATATGAAACTAGATATTGTTGAACGGTCTGAAAAGGGAGAAACAGTGATGAACACTGACCAGTTGCTTGGCTTAAGTTGTTCATCTGTTGTTTAAAGCATGTATATATTTGAATACATATTAAGTTTCCCTGTAAGAGATGAGGACATTTTCTAGTTACACTGTAGTTTGGTAAATTTCCAATAAAAAACGAAAAACATAGTTTGTTTTCCCCAGATTTACTGCTGCTTCTAAGTATTGCAAGAGACAAGATCTTATGCTTCATCCTCCCATCTAATGAGAGCCAATGACATCACTGACAATGAATATACAAGGAGATTAAAACAATTTCATTTCATTATATATATTTATGGCCTCCATATATTTTTTTTTTTTTGTCTTAACTCATTTCTATGATGTGTTAACATAATTATGTCCTAGATTATTACTTTCCTATTGCATTACCATAGGTGAGTGATTTAAGTGATTATTCATGGAAAATCGCTGTATGACACATCATAGGAATGGAACTGTGTTGTAAGTTGAGGATCTCCTGTAGATACTTGCTATCAGTCACAAAACGTACGAGGCTTCCTGGGCATTTATAAGTCTGTCAAGTGATCTAACCACTAAAAAAGTTACATTTTTTTTTATCCTTTCACCCCAAGCAAGGTGCGAATTCCACTAATACACAGGGAAAAATAATAATACACAAAGAAGAGTGAAAGTGAGAGAAAAGACTGGATATAGGAGGGATGGAGAAAAGGATAAAAGCTGAACAGAATTCAGGAAGATAGAAGATGCTGATTGACATTGCATTTAAATTTTTGAAGATTAGAGTTATCAGGAAGCTAGTAAATGGGAGTTCCACAGGTGGAGAGTGTGAGAAAAGAAACTGTTGAAGTAGAAGTGGTAGTTACATTTAACTATTTCAACAGTAAAAGGGTGGGACCTAAATGCCAATCTAGTAGCACGCCTAAATTCATGTATTCGGGGCATCAGGGGAAAAAAAAAGCTCATCAGAGCAGTTGCCATGAAAATATTTGTAGAAAAGACAGAGGGAAGCCACGTCACATTGATGAGAAAGTGACTGAAATTGAGATGCCAAGTCGGGATCAGTTATTAACTTCAAATTACAATACTGCTGCATGTGTGATACTATGGGCACCCACACAGAAAGGTGTAGCAGTAATTAAATGTAGAGGGAGCAGCCATTTGCTACTAATAATGACACCTGCCCCTGTCAGTCAAAGAGACAACCTTTAGTGTGCTGTCTCTGCAGAAAGACAGGACATTTTTGCCCTGCCAAAAATGAGCGAGGGTAAATCCTGGAATGTTTGATTATGAAGAAAGTACCTACCAGCTTCCTGGGAGATAGTCCAGACGTTGTTAGCTCTGCAAATAATTCCTTTGCTTGCAACCGATAAAGTTTTAGACTCCATAAAAGCAGGTACATTTTCTGAAGAGACAGTCTGGCAGCTTGCCATGTTGACTGCACAATGGGATTGTAGTTTGTTCCCAAGGTTTTCTGTTCATGCTACCCAGCGTCATTTGAAATTTGTTTATCCTTCCAGTATCTCGGCTGTGTTCATCCCATGTTTATAGTTTTCCTGTGTAGTAGTTTTGCTCATACCCTACCCATCATGATCCAGTGCTCAGCTCCTTTAGTGTTTGATTCCATTGCTGCTGATTTTTCCATCCTTCTTCCTTGGCAGATACACAATCAATAAGAAGAAAATCTTAAAAAAAAAGGGTAGAGGTGGTTTTATCTTGACCTCTAGTATTTCTATTTCATGAACCAGTAACTTTTTAAGTTCTTATTCTAAGCAATATCCATTTTTGAAAAGAGGAACGAGAAATAAAGTAGAGGATGGGGCTTTTGGAAATAAAAACCAGAACTAGGGTATATCTGGGTGATGGTCTATATTAACGGTTATGCTTGGAATCAAAAAGACTTCAGGTCTGCTCATTGTGTCAGCATATGGTTCCAGTGCCAACCATTTGTATTGCCAACCACACATTAGTATGTTTAGATGGGCAAGAAATTGGTAGGGGTAAAAACTGACAAAGCCAAAATATTGAACATATCACCTACTTACCCGCCCAGACAAGCAGACAAAGTCTTGAATAAAACCTTTATGTATAATATAGGATACAGGATTCAAGTTATTTCTTTGAGATCAAGAATCGAAATGTAACATGGGGTAATCATTGACCAGTCAGCAGAAAGCTTGGGTGATGGTCACATTGTATGATTGCACATGGTAGCAGCCATATTGCAAAGACTGATTCAATAGCAAATACTCCTCTATGGCCATTTTGTTTCAGGAGAGTCACTTGTGTTTGGTGCCTTGATATTGTCAGGGTATTTTGAAAAGTTGAATGATAAAAAACATTTATTTTACACAAATATTTGGTAGAATTATCTGCTTTTTTATTCAGTGCTGTATATCTACTGTTTATATAATTATAATTACTATTATAATTTATCAATGTTTATGAATATATTATAGTCTTTCAATGTGATAGATTGAAGATTATGAATTGGGATAAATGCTTTGTGTGTGTGTATATATATATATAAGACAGTTTTATGTTTAACATTCTTTTTATAGATGCAAATATTTAAGTAAATGCTCTGTTTATAATAAACAGTATTAAACAACATTTACCGGCCTGAATGTCGGAGAAATTTATATATATACATACATAATATAAAACACCTTGAATAAGTTCTCTTGTTTCTAGTAGATGGCATTTCTAGAACTGCACGCATGTAGTTTGAGATGGTAATGCATCTACAAGGAAGTACTATAAGCAAGCTTGAAATTCAGTGTATGTCATTTTGCAAAAGTGTAAACAACTTTGTTTTTTATAGCGTTAAATATGTTGGATTTCATGCCAAAGAAAAAGTATTTGTGGGTAATTTTACTGTGCTGCATTATTCAAAAGAAATTTGCAGCTGAAGCACACAGAATTCTTGTTGAGACTTACGGTGACCATGCTTTGTCAGAAACAACATGCAGAGATTGGTTTAGATGCTTCAAAAATGATTTTGATGTTGAAGATAAAGAACACCCTGGTGCACTGAAAAAGTTTGAAGACAAAGAATTGGAGGCATTACTTTATGAAGACTCATGTCAGGCACTAGCTGAACTTGCAGAATCATTAGGAGTTGATCACACAACAGTTTTGAAACATTTGAAAGCATTAAAAATGATTCAAAATCAAGGACATTGA